ATGAGACCTTTAACCGATAAACTTCGTGGAGATGCGTCAATTTGTGTGATATCGCAGAAGGAGCACTCTCCATAATCAATGAAATTGTCGCAAAAACAAATATGCTTGCACATCACGATACTGAAATGCAGTAAGCGCATCCAACCTACCAATCAGAGTCTTAGAACGAGTAGTAAACAACGCCGGGGAACCCTTGACATTATTCTCGACACAGTTGATTGACACCTAATCGAGGTGTAGCGTTTTCGTCAGGGATCCCTTAGTCATGTGTCGTGCTGTAAGGTTTTTTCGACATTCCGTAGGAGGCCAATTGTTCACCCTTTTCGACGACCACAAACCTTTTACTTTCTTTTCAAGCTTGTTTTCGGATAAGTACTCCCCTTGACAGTCTCGGCAAATAGACTACATTTCGCAAGTTACTTCAGATGTACAAAACATTTCAGGAGCAAACAATGTGGTTGCGGACGTTTTGTCTAGTGTACGTTCCTTTGAACAGTTTCCAAGGAATCGACCTTCTTAAATTCGCACAGCTTCAAAAAGAAGACACTCATCTTCAGCACAAGTTATCTTCGAAAATCCTGGAACTGTGTATTAAACAGATCGGAACAAGTAAGGAAACCTTAATATGTGGCTCATACTCAGGCTGCGGCCGCTCAATCGTGCCTAAATATTATGGACGCAACGTCTTGAATACGTTGCACAAGCTTTCGCACCCAGATGCATGTGCAGCCATCGAGCTTATATCAGAACGATTTTGCCGGCCTGGTGTGAATAAAGACGTGAGGGAGTGAGCACGCTCCTGTGCATGCTGCCAGAAATGTAGGTTGATTAGACATAACAAATATAAATATAGGGTTGTGAAGACTGTTAAGTTATTGATAGAGATCATGAACTGATTGATGTTAGGCCACCATTGAAAGACTGGAAGCACTGAATGGCCGTTTCTTCCTATTGTAGGACTCCTCAGCAGTGCGCATCTACGATCCCGAGAGCGGGATTTGAACCCAGGGCCATCAGTCCCGCGCGCGAATGCTCAACCTACTAGACCACTGAGCCGGTATCCAACGGTGTTAATGTCTAACCTCAACCAATCCAATTCCGTTTTCCTAGCACCCTACCAAGAATAAAACGAGTTCCAAAGGCCCTCTATCACCTACAAGCCAACGGGTTGGTCGAATGATTTAACGAAAGCTTAAAGCTTCACTTTTAGCTAAAAATGTCTCACGGAGGGGTAACGCTCTTCAACTCATTTTACTTGGTATTAACAATGCATTGGAAGCTGACATTGGATACACTGCAGCACAACGGAACGACACCGTGACTTCTAGAAGAATTTGTGGGCTTTTCTTTTTTTTCAAGGAATATGGACATAAACCCTCACATGAATAAGCTTGAAAACATTATTCGTTCAGTCAAACCTGGAACATGATACACACGCAAAGTAGGATTTACGTGCCTATATTGGATGAACACTTCGTAGAAATATTAATCTTGAAGTAGGTGCCAAGGAATAGATGGGGGAGGTTAGAAATGTATGTTACGTGCGCATATAGACGCTTAGACGACAGTCTACATATCCCATGGACAGCATACAGGTATAAATGTGTCCACCATTTGCCTGAATCCAGCGGCATTAATCAATGCACTAAAAACAAGTAACCGAATCAGTTGCACTAAAATTCGTCTCTTGACGAAGCACTTCTTCAATTTCATATTGAAAGCTGCATTGGTGATGCGGCAAAAGTAAATGCAAAGATTCAATTTATACAAATACAAATCAACACAATCGCCTCACAATCATTCCTGCGACTCTACATAAACACTCACAGCCTCACTTCAAATTCCACAATACTGTTAAGCTCGCTCTCTTCAACGGAGACGCAAAACTCGCAGACAAGGTACAAAGACGAGTGTCTGACTGGTTGGTGAAGTTGTCGAATGAATCCCAAAGAGACAGATTCAGACACTTTGGATTATTCTTGCAGAGTTATAATGGAACAACGTGTGATGTGATAATCGCATTCAACCTACTATGTTCCCCAAGGTACTCAAAAGCGAATACCCTACCAGAACATCACCACCACGTCCCTCGAGTCAATCCCGACAAATTGCTCATCAAAATGCAAAAGCTCAGGCACTCTCTCGCCCCTTCTCGTTCAGAGTTGTTATCATTCGGAATGCTCTTCCAGTCGAAGTGTCCCGAAACTCCTCATAGAGTGGCTTCGAGAGGAGATTTTATAAATGTCAACTAACCCATGGATTACAATCTCGTGCTTCGATAAGCTGTGCCTAGTACATGTCTCGTGAATTACTGTTATATCCTGACGAGAATTATGAATGGTAACTTTTGAGAACTGTTTATGGACCAACACCATATATAGCTAAACTATGCATATGCACGTTCCTCTTATTGTGAGCTTTATTTTGACCCCTAGACTATTATTATACGATTTACCGTCCTTGAGTTCTGTCAAGTCTATTAATTACTGTCTCCCACACTCACAGTCACTTTTGGTTATATCTTCGTACAAATGTTGTTTTCTATTTTGTGGTGTGATGCGGCCTGTTTGGTTTGTATATAAACCCAGTATGCTTGAAATACGTGATCCATATTTCGGAGGCTGAGATTGGTGTTCTGCACTTAACAGGTAGTGCTAGGCAGGAAGGAGGACCGATAAGAACCCTAGACTACTCGTACGGGTTTTATGCGTCATTGGTCCGGTTGATAATTCACTGTTCTGGAATTGGTGGTATCATTACATTATATGTTGGTAGAGGAACAGGACCACAAGTTATAACACTTACCTACGGTCATCATCACCATCACACGTCATTAACTTACTCCTATCTCGCCTATTCTTATCTCCGTTTCCCCTCTCATTCGGTTATTCCATACTGTCTGTATTACTAATCGATTAACTGTTTAATTAGTCCTTGCAACAATCGTCCTCTCTCGGAATTCCAATTTCACTTTTTTGTTTTTACATCGTAACTAACAAACTAACCTCTTATTTTTTAATGTGATCGTTTTTGATATCCAGAAACCCTACTGCTCAAAGAAGAACACACTCACTCAGTTTACACGATATACAAACCTACGAATAATTAGTGAACTGACGGTGACGCCGCTAACAATCTGTCCGGACAATATTACTGGACATTTAAATCGACTTACATTATTTATATATATGAAAGCTTCATCTGCAATTGCACAAGACTTTCCGAATTGAACCTGAGCACTGACTTGGTGTTCCGGAAACTGCGGCATTTCTGCTGGTTCAAATAATGTTTCATTCTGCTATACTGAGGGAAGAAGCTTCAATCCTGACAACACCGCTTAGCGCGATTTTCTCACACTCTCCATGCCGAGGCAAACTACCGGAAAATTGGAAGCTGTCACACATCACACTCATTTTCAAAGGAGGTCGACGCAATTGACCCCCAAGCTACCGATCGGTGGCTCTTCTCCCTATACTTTCAAAAGTTATGAAGTCCCTGGTATGCGATGGCATACACGACGATTTATTATCCTTAAACTTCTTTTCAGCCCAACAGCATGGTTTCAGGAAGGGTTACTCTTGTACAACCAACCTGCTGACTGTGGTTGACAGATGGACAAACATCCTTGATCGCAAGGGGAAGGTTGATGTCATTTACCTTGATCTCTCAAAAGCTTTTGATAGGGTTACCCATATATGTTTTATCAATCAGCCCAAACGATTGAGTATCGGACCACCTCTAATTGATTGGCTCATTTCATATCTGAAAAATCAACATTTGAAGGTCAGGGTTAGCTTCACTTCATCTCAGGCTATGGAATGTTCTAGTGGGGTCCCCAGGGCTCAGTACTAGGACCTCTTCTCTTCTTGATTTATATAGATGATCTTCTACAACATGTAACGCCATACTTATTATTTTTTGCTGATGGCATGAAACTTTGGAGGGAGACACGCAACCAAGACGATATACAGGCACTTCAGGAGGATCTGACCCAACTTCAAAGTTGAACAGATGATAAAGGACTTTAACACTCCAAAGTGTGAAGTAGTCAAATCGTAACATGTCGCAGACTACAGTTACAACCTAGGAAACTGCTCCCTAGTAGTGTCCCGAGTCGAAAAAGATTTAGGAGTCCTGGTCCCCATGATTTAAGGTCTTACGCTAACTGTGACAAAAATGCCTTCCGAGCAAACCTTTCACTGGTAACGTTGAAGCACATTTTTGGACAGTTTGACGGACGAGCTTTCCACAAAATCTTCAATATTTTCATTCGTCTCCATTTAGAGTACGGAAACATAGTACTTCCCCTCACTCCAAAAGGATAAGGACACTCTGGAGCGAGCCAAAAAATCAGTTCGGAGACTCAAATACAAACCTTATGAAGAGCGCATTCAATCATTTAACCTTTACACATTAGAGCGCAGGCGTCTGAACGGTGACCTGACGGCTTACAGTATCCTTGACACTTCTGGACATACTCTTAAACACCTACTTAAGTTTAGCTCCAGCACAAACCCAAGTGGTAACGCCCAGAAACTAGAGACACAACACTGTAGAACAGGCTGTAGACACAATTTTTACACCTTAAGACTTGTCAAATACTGGAATTCGCTGCCGGCTGAGCTAGTCCAAGCGACTTCCAAGAGTCATTTAAGGGGCAACTTGACTTATTCTTAAGGACTACGGATATCATCTTATTATGAGTTCCCAATTTCTTTTTTCTAATCTATTACGGTTAATATACCTAGGTTCCTGCCTGGAGGCATTAGTGATCTACTGCCACTAGACACGGAAGCCTGCTAAGCGAAAGTTTCTTCTATTCCGTCCACAACCATTTGAACCATTTGACTAAAAGAAATGCAGTCGGGTGACTAGACCACCGCCCACTGGATAGTACCAAATACCTGGAACTGTAAAGAAGCAACGGGAAGGATCTCAAAGAAATCAATCCGTTTATACATGCTGGTCACACAGTTACTGGTTTTATTGGAACTTTGTGCTGTGCGCGTTGCTTGACATGTACGCTTCTTTCATATTTGTCGTATTTTTAAGATTGTTCTTCGCCTACTTTCTGTTTTTTCTCGGAAAGCACGTATAAATTATCCAAAAGTAAATTTCGCTAGTGCGAGTGGTTTATTTAGATTTATGAGCCAAAATATTCGAACAGTCCTTTCAGTTTGAAGCTGTAGCGGTAAATAAATCCCCAAAATAAATAGCTCTGTATAGCTCTGTGTCATCTTCAAAGCAATGCCGTTTGTATATATATATATATATATATATAAACGGTACATTGTAAATCAAAGTCATTATATAAATTCGCAAAAATAAGTAATACCGAATTTTATCCCATATTTCTTTGTGCTTGGAAATCTTATTTCTTATGTGTAGATCGATCCATATTAGGTAATATGTTTTAAGTATAATGCCCACTATTCTACTAGTCTTATGCCTTGTCAAGGAATCCTCTAGTTCTGAAAGAAGGTTTAGAATATTTCCACATGTTCTATGAAGTGGTCGTCATTTCAAGAACTATCCTTAGAAATTTTTATCTATGGGATAACCTGTCACTAGAGATCTATCCAGGAAAGAGTACAGATGGTCTGTGTTAGTCTCCGCATTAGTTATCCCTGCAAAATCCTGTCACTTTGTAAGTCCCTTTACTTGTGCAGCTAGTATTACTTTTTCTACTAACCTATTTCAGCTGGTAATCGTTTAATAAATTGCAAACTCTTCGTTTAGCAACTTGTATGTTTCTCGGAGTATCGATCTCAGTTGCGAAGGATGTAATGGGTGATTGGATACAGTACTGCATATGGATTCTAACACGATATGGCATGATATTTTAAAATATCTCTTTGCCAAAGCAACTCGCGACACTGTAGTACGGACATAACATCCCAAATCTTTTAGCAAAACTACACTGCAACTCGCTGTCATCAATTCATGGCTTGTAACGACCCTTAGGGTTCTCGATATTGTATGGTCAGGAATATCACTTACATTACTGATGAAAGTCAGTGCAATTAGTATACATTGTCAGATTTTGCGTGAAATCACTGCGGGTACCGACTTTCTTACTTAGCAATCAGTTCATCTAATCCAACATATCGTCCAAAGGTTCACAACTCCCGTAAGTAGCAGCAATCATTTTTGACTATTCACTGATAAATTAGTGTTGAGGAAAACCTAAAGCTTCTTTAGAAATGCAGTTCCCGATGGGTTCCTGCTCGTAAAACAACCAGTTTATACCTAGTGTTAAAGCGTTCCTCATCCATGAATGGATGGTCTTTGTAATTTCAGACCTAGTATGATTCTGTATCGGTTTCAGATTAGATAGCAGAAACCTCTTTAAAACCATCAAATACTACACCTCTGGAATTTCTATCGCTATTACTTTTTCACTATATAGGGATTTGTTAACAGAAAGGAATTTAATCATTTTAAAGTCCCCATATCGCTTCAGGTCAGTATTGACGGTAGTCCCGTCATTCCTGTTACTTATGCTAATGCAGAAAAACAGTTGACTTAAAATATACAACCGAACCAATGAACGCGGAAATTCATGTTTAAAGTATCAAAATAAGGTTAAGAATTACTGTTAGGGTTAGGTGTTCAGTTAGAGTTTTTATCTTAAACTGACATCAGCTACAATACAATGATCATAAAACCATATTCTCATACTAATTCCTAGTATAATAAGTCATCCATTCGTTCTTGCAGCCTTTTGATTGACCGTAATGTTTAACATATCACTGTCATTCAACTGTGTACATTACGTTTACCGGAAAAGCAATGCTTTTAGTGGGATAATTATCGCCCTGATATGTTGATTTATCAACCAAGTTTCAGTACTTAACTTTCATTCCATTCCACATGGTTATAACATTGTTTATATCACCAGCTTAGATCAGAGAGTAGTTCTCACACATGTCAGTTATGAACATTTACTTCATCGTTTAACTTTCTATGTTTTATTGAATATGTTTTCAGTAGAGTATAACCGACCAATCTACAAAAAATTGGTTTGTTTTTGCTTCAACTTCCTCCCTCGTATCTCATGACCATGACAGTCATCTGATAATCGGATGGAATGGATAATGTACCATGTTGCTATTGTACCTATGAAGTGCCTTTCCGGGGAGTTTCTTCAGAGCATCCGGCGGGTCACTTGCTAACTGCTGTTAGAAATTCTGGGGAGAAGCAATTGCTTGGAAAACCTCTGGATAAAATTTTCCGTTTTGGGTGTTTTGAAGTTGCACACAACAAATTAACATTATATGGAATTTTGGGTTTATCAAATTGGGAAGTATTATTTGTGCCATGTATTAATCTTGGACAAATAAGTAAGGAGAACATTAATGCCACTCGGTTAGTTAGTTCAGGTTGTATTTTTTTAAACAGTTTAATTTTCTGATTGTATGTCCGTTACGCAATGTCGTTTTCAGTTATACGATAGCAATTACTAAAGCACTGTTAGGAAATGCTTCATTTCCCAAACATTTGACTAGATCTTGTTAACTGAAGTACTGCTTTAAAAAACTGTGCAAATTTGGAACTGTTCACTAAGGCTCACATTCGGCTTCCTAAAAACTACATTGTTAATAGTCGTTTCTCAAAGCTATACCAAATTATTCTATCAAAGCCCATGTGATTTGTATTGTAGAGCCATCAGTAGTGGTAACTAGTACATTGTCAAAGTACTCTTCAGATACTACACTTGCAGCCTTGATGTAATTGATATTGAGTTATACCATCAAATAGATGACCTCAAGAGACTGTGTTTGACAGATATTTCAGTACTAGTCAGCGATTTGAATACACAACTCAAGTGTCTAGGCACAGTTCAGAGACCCTTAGGTGGTAACCATTGAGAAACCCTTGGTCACAGGCCTTTTTATTCTTTATTTTTATTTTAACACATAGATATTGGTACAAGGAGGCACCAAATACATATGCGCCACACAAATCTCATTCGATATGTGTGAAGGCTGTGATACTACCCGGGTGCCCAAACCGAAGCAGGTGGTTTTCCTAGGGGGCAACACCCGTAGCCTTCGACCTGAAGGTCTGATCCACAAGGCAGTGGAGAATCGTAAGGAGATGCAGTCCCATGGTCCGGTGACCAACAATTGGTTCATACTTCATTTGTTCCTTCAGGATACTGGAGTCCATGTGCATCATTGGTTTGGAATGAGGGTTTTCCAACTCCCCTAATTGGACTCTCCATGTCCATCAACCCGGGTAAAGCGCCAGACATTCGCTTTTCGTCCTCTGAATTTCGTAAACAACACCCCTCACTACAATAAGGCAGTGATTAGGACTTTCCTGGCAGAGGCTATATACGCGTGACCATGTGAGTGCATTTCGAGAGGGAAAATGGACTCTCCCCACTCTCGGCCCTGTCAGGGCATTTGGGGGCAGATAACGATGACAGTCTTTCACAACTTTAGGCAGGAAAAGGCATGTTTCTGGTCAGCACCAACTTTCAGCACAGTCATCACCAGTGTGCTACCAGGCGTCATCCCTCTACACCTCAAACCTTGATCCAGATTGATCATATTCGAATTACATACCACTGGCATGGTTTCATACAAAACTGCCACTGTTTTGGGATACCTATTTTTAATGTGATCATAGTTTAATTTTCACCCAGCTTATTTTGCGTTTTGGTGGCCAATAAACGTCTATGTCTTAACGGATTGATACCAGCAAATGGTCCGTTTCTTCAGTTACAACCAAATATCGACAGGTATTGTGGTACTAGCCGGAGACTTGAATGCTCAGGTCTGGCGTCTAGGCACAGAAGATAGTCGTTTAGGTGGCCGGTGGGGACTTGTTGGTCGCAGAACAGATAACGGGGACCGTCTACTGCGGCTGTGCACAGAACACAGCCTGTTTCTGGCTAGCACTAACTTCCAGCACAGTCATCGCCGATGTGCCACCTGGCGTCCTCCCTCTGCATCTCAAGCCTGGACTCAAATTGATCACATCTCAATCAGCTACCGCTGGCGTGGTTGTGTACAAGACTGTCGCTCCTTTTATAGTACCTATCTGGACTCTGATCATGCCCTGGTCTGCGCCAATCTTACCTTACCTTCCAGTGGCCAACGAATTGATCGTCATAAACGGATTGATGTCAACAAATAGGTTGCAACTTCTGTTACAACTGAGTATGGAACCGAGCTAGCTTCTAGGCTAGCTACCACCCCACTGAAAAGTATAGGTGAGCATTCGTCACAACTGCATGACCGTGAGTTTGACCACAAACGAAGGCTGTTACGTAATGAAATTGGACAAAGCTTGCGTAAGGACCGAGAAGCCTGGTGGTCGGAGCGTGCTAATGAGCTGGAAGCAGCAGCTGCATCTGGTAACTACCAGAAGCTCTTCCAATTCATCTGAGCCACTGGCAGCAAGAAATCTGATTTGAACGAAACAATCTGTGAGGGTGACGGAACGCCAATCACTAACATCCATCGACGTCTTGGACGATGGGCAGAATTCTTCGAAGGGCAGTTCAACTGGCCTGCTGCTCCGGCAACATCGATCGGACTGTCCTGCCCTCCATGGTCCGTGACGACTGATCCACCGAATGAGGCGGAAGTCCACAAGGAACTCTAGCTCTTGAAGCGCTACAAATCACCGGGCCCAGATGACTTACCTCCGATCCTTTCTAAAAGTGGTGATGACTTTCTGGCTAAGGAACTGACAACGTTGTTTACAAAGGTCTGGGACCTAGAGAGTGTACCAACGTCACGAAATGAGTTGATAGTTGTCCCTATCTTTAAAAAAGGGTTCACGTCGTTTCTGTAACAACTATCTGGAGATAAGTCTACTTCCGATTGCGTCCGAACTGTTGACTTCCGTCATAATTCGTAGGTTGTTCAAAACGTGAGAAAGATTGACTCGCGAGGAGCAGGCTGGTTTTAGTTCCGGTCAAGGATGTATTGATCATATCTTCACCCTCCGCCAAATGTTAGCACACCGTCATACTTATCAAAGTCCCTTTAAATGCAAGTTGTTGCTTCAAGACTGATCTGCGTTAACACCTGAACTAAGGATAGAGAGTGAAGTAGTCGAACGCGTTGACAACTTCACTTATCTTGAAAGTTTGATCAGCCCTAATGGGTTGGTGTCTGACGATATCTCAGCACGAATTCGAAAAGCTCTCTTGGCTTTTGCCAACTTACGTCACCTATGGCGAAGGCAAGATATCCGCCTATCAATAAAAGGACGAGTATACTGCGCGGCAGTCCGTTCTGTTTTACTTTACGGCAGCGAAACATGGCCTTTAAGAGTAGAAGACACTCGTAAGCTACTAGTATTTGACCACAGATGCCTTAGAAATATTGCCCGCATCTGCTGGGACTATCGGGTAAGTAATAGTGAGGTTAGACACAGGGTATTAAGGAATGGTGGTAAATCAGTTGATGAGGTTGTGAGTCTTCATCGACTGAGATGGTTGGGCCACGTGTTACGTATGTCTGAACACCGATTACCACGACGTGCAATGATAACCGGTGTTGGGGATGGTTGGAAGAAAGTTAGGGGTGGCCAAAGCAAAACGTGGCATCAGTGCTTGAAGTCACTAACTTCTAGTCAGAGCCATGTTGGTAGATGCAGACTACTTGGTTGGGGTCCGCGTGACTATCGTAACTAATGGTTGGAGACTCTGGGTGACATAGCTCAGAATCGATCACAATGGCGTCGGTGTATACACTCTCTGTCTTCCCTCAAACTAAGAGATTAAAATCGCTTCATATCTGTCTTTCTACGAACTAATTCTTTCTTCATGTACTATATCCTTATTGCAATCTTTCTTTTATATATTGCCACCTCTGAATTAACTACTTTTATGAATCCGGTGTCCGTCTTGTTGTGTTAATGAGGTATGGCAACTTGGACCGATGCATATATGTGCCTGGTCCTACGTTGTAACTGACTGAATGACACTTATCAAAGGCCAACATCAGGACTGCCTTTGATTCGTTGGACAGGTTTGTTCGCTGGGGTTGTCTATTGAAGAAGGGTGTGCCTGAGAAGTTTATTAACATCCTAAAAGCCCTACATACAAACACCTCAGGCAGAGTGAGGGCATACAACCACCTCTCTCCATTGTTCTATTCCAGCAGTGGGGTTAGGCAGGGTTGCCCAATCTCACCACTCCTCTTCAACTTTGCCGTCAATGAAATTCTGGAAACAGCTCTGAAGGATGTAAGTAATGGCAGTGTGGATCTGTTGCCTGGAGAAAGACGTCTCGACCTTGAGTATGCGGATGACATTGTCTTACTGTGCGATAATGCACGAGCCATGCAATCCGCACTTAATCAGTTGGCAATCAGTGTCCGTAGGTATGATATGTGCTTTGCACCTTCGAAGTGCAAAGTACTTCTGCAAGACTGGCAGGATTCTAATCCTGTACTCACCCTAGATGGTGAGCAGATAGAAGTAGTCGAGAAGTTCGTGTATCTAGGTAGCTGCATAAGTGTTGGTGTTGGCGTGAGTGATGAGACCGATTCACGTATAATGAAAGCCAGAGCGGCTTATGCCAATCTAGGCCATCTTTGGCTCCTTCGTGATGTTAGTCTGGCTGTAAAAGGTCGGATCTACAACGCGTCGGTGAGAGCAGTTCTACTCTATGCTTGTGAAACCTGGCCTCTCCGAGTTGAGGATATTAGACGACTCTCTGTGTTTGATCACCGCTGTCTCCAAAGGATTGCTGACATCCAGTGGCAACACCATGTCAGCAATGCAGAGAGGTTCGGCAGCGTGTGTTCGCGCGCAGAGACGACAATGCAATTGGTGTCACCATCTCGAAACACCGACTTCGGTGGCTTGGACATGTTCTCCGAATGTCGTCCCAGAGAATTCCACGTCGTGCATTATTTGCTGACGCTGGGACTGGTTGGAAAAAGCGGAGAGGTGATCAGTGTATGACACGGTGGCGTGGCATGAAAGAAAGCTGCAAAGGGCTGACTTGTGTTGGTCCTTCACGACTCCTTGGCTGCGGTCCTAGAGATGGTGCAACACGGTGGGTAGAGACGTTGTCAGATATGGCTGTAACCTTTTACTTTCTTCATAAAAAGTGGTTGTATCTTCCTTAACTAAAAGATTTCTTCTGATTTTACCTTTCCGTTCCTCCCATTATTATTATTATTATTATTATTATTACACTACCATACACTAATCTGTGGTCGTTATTGTTCTCTCTTTTCTTTTTTCTTCTCTTTTATACGCACCTTATATGCCTTCTGTCTTCCCACTCTCATTGTTGTTGTGTGGTCCATATATCTCTGGTACCCCCTTGTACCAATATTTTTGTGTTCAAAAAAATATCAAACCGAGTTAGGTTCAAGGCTAGTAGCCAGTTC